CAGATGGAAGATCTATGTTTTGTCGATTTGCTATTTAAGCGAACTCATTCAAGCTGGCCATCACAACTTACACTACTTTTGCCGAATGTTCGGCTCGAAGATACAATTCTCTGCAAGTATCAACAACTCTTGTAGCCTCTTTTACTATCTTGGCGTAGAATTATTCTAAGAAACGTGGGCTTTCATAGTCTTGGTGACTACGGCCGATGCTTTATTGAACACCGATGTATTTTATTTCAATCCGCCTAGGTTGGATAGATTGTTTTCGATGTTATTTCGTTTTGAGGGTGAATTGTGAGAGGACTCGTTATTACCCAGCTTCGTCGGAACATGGTCAATGTATGTATGCATGTATGTGTTATATATGAGTCATTTTTAAGACTATCAGTAATTCGTGATAAATATTTAGTCACCCTAGGTCGCTTGCGGTGATTTAGGAACCCCATTCTCTTCTTCACATTGAAGTCAGACGTCCACGATTCTCAACAACACTCAGACATTCTGGTTGGTCCCGCTTTGGCTCCGTTTATCACAAATTCCACAACCAACTCGAGTCGAGCGCCTCAGACACGTTAGACTTGAACTGGCATGAAGAACTTTTTTTCCGGCGGATCACGTCTTCAATGCTCATGGAATGTTTACTGTTCGAGTCATAGTGGAATCATTTAATCAAAGCATGTGAATGGCTACTCGTGTAGGCCGAAGGTGAGGGGGCTAATTGATATTTTTAGAAAATTCGAGACTGTTTAAGTAGTTGATAAATTTATTGCCAAGTTTCGTTGTAGAGGCTATCGACTGAGTCAAAATATTAAACAGGCCTCTTACGTGTACTTAGGCACCGGAGATTTAACAGCCCTGGATACCCAGGAAGCTTCGTTGAGCCGATTCGTTACGTGCCACTTGTTCTGTCCGCTGCAGTTCACGACGCATTCTTGGCGAGTTTACGTGCTTTTTACCATCTTCCCAAGTGCGTATTCACGAAGTCAGAGCCTAGGTGACACGTGAACTCGGTTTGTGTGTGTGCATGCGTCTCTCCCTCTCGCTCGCTCGCTCGTAAACACCAAATTTTACCGGTTTATTTACATGTTTCACCAGCATAATCGGATGCTATCGCATTCACAACTAATCCTTGCATCGAGTTCACTTTACTCCAGCCTGGTTCACCACCTTCAGACTCGTAAGCTCATCTTTGACAAGTTTTTCTACATGTTGGACAGATTTTGTGGGCACTTTTGGCTGTCCTTCTGGCTGCACCTTCGCTACCAGCCTCAGCTAATCGACACTGGCGAGTTGTGCGTTATTCCAGTATACTACACGGCTGAGGGGAGTGTCATTTGATTTGTTCACGCTGAATGGTCGGTTGAGTTGTACCATCTTGTGTCATGACGCCTGGCTAAAGCCCTTTACCTCGACTAGGTGCCTCAAAAGGTCTCCGAGGGACTCGGCTGCAGACCCGAACATGAATGTGGCATGGGCCTGACATGATTCTCGAAGCACTTATTTTTTTGCTCACTTCTTTCTGAATTGTCATATTTCAGCTCCTGGAATCACCAGAAGTGTGGTTCTCAGGTTTTCTCTGGGAACTGCAGGCGCATTTGGCGTGCTTGATTATTTCGGTCATTCGGGCCTATTTTTGATACTTGCAGATAAGTGAATTTGATGCATAAAGAGGATGTGAATGTGGTACCAGCTATTTCTTTGACTTAATAAACTAAAGCTTGATCCTGTAATGTTGGCACTTCCTCCAGCATGGTGTTGTGTAGCAATGCAATGAACACGAGTCGTATAAGATGTTAGCCATAGCCAAATTTGTTTCTAATCAAGCATCCTTTTTCCTGTTTCTTCCATCTCTTCTTCCATCAGCCACAAACGTTGTCATTCAATTTCTAAGCTCGTTCTTTACCTTCAAGAATTTCGTCGGTTTTTTTATTTGTATAGGCTCAACACGAATGCTTATAAGTGAAATCGCTCTATTCCACCAAACTTTCCTTTGAACTTTATTTAATGTATCAACCATGTGTTCAGCCAACTCAGATTTTTACATTTAGTTCTATGTTAAAATTGCCTGGATTAGTGGCACAGGACTACGCGACACCTAAATCTTGAAAAATGGTCCTAAAATTAACGAAATTAGGCATAACTGAGGAAAGTACACTTTTTTCTCTATTACTTTATCAGAAATACATCTCCCTTTTCAAAAATGTCTACTAGGATGGTAACATCAGAAACCGAGTATAGTGGTCTATCTAGCTGTCCCGCTGGAACTATCTGTTTATCCGCATTATATTTATCAGAATTAAGGAATAGTTTTTTTATCAATTCTTGTTGATAGTTGTTTTGTACTAAAATATTTCTCAAGCATCCCATTTGCTGGTCCTGTCGATTTACTTATACTCAACATAATAGTCCATACTTTGACCCCATATTTGCGATTAGCTAAGAAATTAAGGAAATCCTCATTTGTGTGTTTCCTTAATTTACCCCTATCCAACTTAGCTTCTTTTTTATACACTAGTGCATCTCGATATCATAATTTATCATCCTGTTCTTACTGTCCAATAAATTTGGTAGGTGATTCTTTTTATTTTTTTATCCCCATACCAAACGGCAAAGTAATCAGTAATTCCTGAATAAGAACTTATTCATCCTAGGTCGCTTAAGATGAGGTAAGGACTAATAGTTGAGTTTCTCCTACTGTAAGATGACTAGGCCTCATGATACCATCAGATTTCACTTGGCTTTGCTTCCTAAAAGCTAAGCTAAGGTAGGATAAGCTGTGGGAGACAAGGCTTAATGAAATCCATTTGAATCGTGAGGCCTACTCATCTCATTGCTGGGACAACTAAACTATCAGTCCTCTGGGGCCTTAATAGATTTGACACGAAGGATGATGGTTGAACCAAACAACTCTTTCTTCGAGCTGAAAATCACAGTGAAATTATGGCTTGTATAGTCGTTTCCAAACGGCGTAGCTTGTAGATTGGCCTATGATGGGTTAACTAGATAAGGGCATGTCTCCAGTAGCGACATCATTTCCACGTGTGGACCTCCAAGTGATTCTTGAAGCTCTAGTAGCTTCGTTGCTATTTCTCCATTGAAAAGAGTCTTAAAGCGTATTGGCCGCCAGTTCTTAGCTGACTTGTTGGCAGTCCTTCAATGTGTGCTCATCGAATTCACTTAACCGTTGCTGTACTCTCCACTCATTCACACCTGGTCAGACTCACTTCCCAGTTGGCTATTTGAGTCGACTAATCTCTACTCTACAACTGGTGTCGTGAATTTGGACTTTCCGGTTGTCTGTTTACACGCCCGCGCTTTTTCAACTGGCATCATTGCCGCTTGGCCGGTTTGAGAGATCATTAAAGCGTCTGCTGAATCATCTTAGTCGAGACCTACAGGCAGGGGTCGGAACAATCGGCTCGTCTCCGACCATCCTTTGGTTATTTTATGATTGTTCCACTATGCCTTTCAGCCCCATCAAGTCAATCAATTTCGACTCGAACCCCACCAGACTGTTGGGGCCTTGGAGCCTTATTGCATCACATTCACAACTTGACCTTTCTATTTATAATTCGCTCTCCTGCAGAGGGTTGTGGAGAAGTAAATTGAGGTTTCAGGACTTTTTATCACCCAATCCTTTATTGACGAACCAAAGCCTAATGGTTATTAACCTCGGTTGCGAGGAGGCGAGGCGTGTCTCAATGTGCACTTGCTCTGGAATGCATTCTCTGCGTGTATCCAATGGCTTACAGGAGCTGTATTCCACATAGGTCATAAGGCAATGAAGGACTGATAGTTGAATTTTGCCACAATCCCACCTCACTTTTCCATCGACATTCACATAGCCTTGCATTCCAAAAGGTATTTTCATCCTAGGTTTCATCAACACCTCCAACCGGATTTAAATCAAAGTGGTGCAACCTATATTCTCGACATGCTACACCTCAGACCACACTGCCAGGTGGTCTTCTGAATCATAGAGTATACATGAATTTCGAGGGTGATCAGAACTCTTCTATATCGCATTTATAGTGTGAATTCCGATGAAACAAACTTGTATTTTGCTATTACAGCCGACTACGTTACTTACATTCGGTTTGAGTAGGCTTCGAAATTACCAGCAGATCTTGAATAATAGGCCTAGCCACTCATGTGATCTAAAGTAAATACAGTTCTTACTCGAGTTCCTACACAAACCGAATATATGTTTTGCATCTTCATTCGTTAATTCAAAGCAAAGGTCATCTTCTACTGCACCCTAACCAGTTGCGAATACAGTTGCATGAAAATTAAGGCATTACTATTTCCTTCATAGAACTAATAGGGATGAGGAAACACCAGTTTAACTGATTTTAGTTCTTCCACCCACTTTAGGCATGCTGAAATCTTGCTTGCTGCTCGACCTGAGGAAGATTTTCTTCTATTAAACCTTTTTAATTTAAACTTCAGGTGT